CCCAACCACCTTATTTCCTCCAATATTTATTCTTAACGTGAAAAGGTAATAGAGTCCAGAGGAACCGCCCACGTGCTAGTAGGACTGATGATGTTTTCTCTCGAAAGTTCTTTGTAAACATGACGACTGCGATGTCGGTCAAAACAAAGCCAAATAAAAAAAAAAAGTCTACAAAAAATCGTAATGTGGACCTTTCCTCGCTATCCACAGTGACTCCGGCACAGGATTGTTGTTCAAATCACCATCCCAACAGTGATCAATCAACCATTTCAACTGCGAAATAACTTGGATTACTTTTGCTAACAAAGAGCGATCAGTAAATTCCATCCTAAAAATTATTTTGGTTACGAACACGAGACAAAAGTGCTGCTTTTCAATACAAAAGCTGATTCGAATTTGTCGCTGATGAGACCCGTTCCCCCACAGTTTGCTGTTTGGTTTCAATTATAAACTAGCTGCTTCTGGTACACATAAAAAATCAAAACTGCCTGGAGTTTTTCCTTAAAACAAGTCTCTGAAAATAATTGGCCAAAGCACGGGCTGCCCGTTTGAAGATGCGTTTTTTGCATAGCTCACCGCAGATTTTTGTCGCTAACGGCACTGGGTTTTCTGGCAGATGCTTCTGGTTAAAAAAATTTCAGACTGGAGGCCAGGACTGTCAGGAAACATCCCTTCAAAATCCCAGTCTTCTAGCTTCTCACTTCCCCGAATTAGCAACTTACCCGGAAGAAACTTTCAAGGGCCCGTACGTAGGTACCGCGCTTACCCGCGGGCAGGGTTTGAACTCGTTAATACCTACTTGGACGGGGAACATTGCGCAAAGTTTTCAACGTCCTAGCTTCTTAGTTCTCCGAGTTATGAACTTACCTGGAAAAAGTTTTAGCGGACCCGTAGGCGGGTACCACGCTTACTCGGGGGATGGGTTTGAGTGCATCAATACCTAGCTGGAAGGGGAACACCCCCAAGATTTCAGCGTTCTAGCTTCTCAGATCCCCGAGTTGTGAACATAGCCAAAAAATTCTTGGCAGGCCCGTACGCGGGTACAACGCGGGTGTTTTGGCGCCCGTTTTGGGCATTGGAGCCGGCATGTGCATGTAGGCTAAGTTACCGAAATTTCAGCCCCGCAGCTTTTATAGGTCCTGAGATGAAAGTGCGTGACAGACGCACACACGGACACACAGACAACCTCTCGTCAATATGCGTTTTCTGCATTGCATAGCTGCAAAAAACGCATAAAAAAGAAATCACCAAAAATTTTGCAGATGATGCACAGAAGAGAAGCAAAATGGACGATAGTTACTCTCAGATACTATCCTGATATATGAAAGCCACAGTTTTCAATTTCGCTATGTCAGCAGACAGTTGCATGAAAGCGCGATATGGAATAAGATGATTGCTGAGAAGAAAAAGCAGTGATCCAATAAGCCATAGTACAGGGTGTACTAGGTGCTAGCAACCTACAGTACATTTTTGGTGAGATACAAGGAGTTTCGATCTAGCATGAACAAGGTACCTTATACGTGTACGGACATATGTATTATACGCGTACATATAAATACTTAAACACATACATTATAATTGACCAACGCATGGGTTGCCCGTGCGAAGATGCGTTTTTTGCATAGCTCCCCGCAGATTTTTGAAGCTAACGGCACCGCTTTTTCCGACAGATGCTTCTAGCTAAAAGAATTTCAGACTAGCCGCCAGGACTGTCAGGAAACATCCTTCAAAATTCCAGTCTTTTGGCTTCTCAAGTTCCCGAGTTAGCAACTTACCCCAAAAAAACTTTCACGGCGCATATTTAGGTACCACGCTTACCTGCGGGCTGGATTTGAGCTCACTAATACTTATCTGGACGGGGAACACCTCCTTAAGATTTCAGCCTTCTGACTTCTCAAACCCCCGAGTTGACGACTTACTCGAAAAAATTTTGGCAGGCCCGTACGTGGGTACAACGCTTACCGAGGGCAGCGTTTGAGCTCATTAATACCTACTTGGACGGGGAACATTCCCTTAAGATTTCAGCATTCCAGCCTCTCAGATTCCCGAGTTATCAGCTTACTCGTAAAAAGCTTTTGCAGGATCGTACGTGGTTACCACGCGGATAAGGGCGCCCATCTTGGGGATTGGGACCCGTACGTGCATGCAGATTAAGTTTCCAAAGTTCCAGCCCTATAGTTTTTATAGGTCTTGAGAAGAAAAATCGGTAGAGACGCCCACACAGACAAACCCTCGTCAATATGCGTTTTCTGCACTGCATAGCTGCAAAAACGCTCAAAAAATACAGTTGAGTGTGTAGATGTTTATAGAGAATAGACAAACGGATGATAAATAAACATAAATAAATAAGCAACAAATAAGTAAACAGTAGACGAACGCGTAAACAAACAAACAATAAGCAAACGGTAATCGACAAACCAATAAGGACTAAAGACACGTTAAAAATGCAAATATATAGATGCGTGAACAATTATGTAAATAAGCAAATAAATGCGTAAATAAATATATAAAATATGAACATGCAAACAAACATACAAATACGTAGATAAACACATAAATACATGAATAAACATATAAATAAGCTCATGGATAAATATACAGATAAATACATAAGCACACCAAATATAAATATGCAAATAAATACATAAATATATAAACACAAATAAATGGACAAATATACAGATAAATAAACATAGAAACAGACGAATAAATATATAAATATACGAAGAAATATATAAATATACAAATGCACAAATAAATAAGCAAACGCACAAATACGTAAATGTACAAATAAATATATAAATAAACATGCAAGCAAATATGAATGAACATACAGAAATACATAAACAGGCATATAAATAAATAAACAAACAAGTAAACAAGCACACAGGTAGATGTACAAATAAATACATGAACAAATATGTAAATAAATGTAACAAATTTAAGGGCAAACATATAAACAAATATACAAGTAAACATGTAAATAAACGCACAAGTAAACGCATGAGTGGGTAAATATAGAAACAAACATAAAAATATATATATATATATATAAACATGCAACTCCGCCTTCGGTTGATAGCCTCTATTGCGTAGTATTGAAGAAGCTCTTGGGCCATATAAGCGCGGGATAAATGCTGTTTGCTAGCTCCGGAGATAAAAAACGAAAAATAAGTGAATATCAGGGCCAGCAATAAATAGAAAATAAACAAAGAGAAAGTAAAAGAAACACGCATATAGAACTACCAATGCAAGTACAGATAGGAAGAAATCAAAATCATTTATGTGATAAATTAAAACATCTAATGACACTAAGCTATTTCCTATTCAACAACACAGGACTGCATCGATGATGTAAAGATTTACAAGCATGAAAAGACAACTGCTAAAATTTGTGTGCGTGCGTGTGTGTGTGCGTGTATATATATATATATGTGTGTGTGTGTGTGTGTGTGTGTGTGTGCGTGTGTGATACGTTTCGATCACTGACGCAACGAAATACGATTTGATTTGGTAAACTTACGTTTGCAAACAATCATTCCAGCGCTGCCGTTTCACCGAAAAGTGCTCATATTCTTTTGTCCACTTTGACACTGAGAGATAATTCGGACTGATGTACCCATCTCGAACCTGAAAACGCATCCCCTCACTATAGGCGATATAGTACTGATTTCAGAAACTAACCAGATCATTCACAAGAACTGCTTCTAAATCACCCATCAGAAGAGTGACAGCACTACTCTAGTTGATTTTTTTTTCAAGGCAGCAAGCAACTACTGCCAGAAGAAGCGAACTCATAACAAAAGAATGTAGAGGCGAAGTCCTCGCCTTGCCGCCCCACCCCCAATCAGAACTACAAAATAT